AAGTGTGGCGGCAGTAGTGAGGTTGGCCCCGGATCAGACATTGTTTCGTTCTGCTGTGCATGGGGTTGCTATGAGTCGGTTCTGACTTGATGGCACCTGACAACAACAGCAACAACAATTGTGCTTATGAGGAACCTGTATAAAGGGACACTGAGAAGTTGGATTATATGAAGAATGTGGCATCAGGATCATTGGAAGACTCATTAACAATATTTGAAATGCAGATGACACAACCTTGCTTACTGAAAGTGAAGAGCACTTAAAATACTTACTGATGAAGATCAAAGACTACAGCCTCCTGTGTAGATTGCACTTCAATGTAAAGAAAACAAAATCCTCACAACTGGGTCAATAAATGACAACATAATAAATGTAGAAAAGATTGAAGTTGCCAAAGACCTCATTTTACTTGGATCCATAAACAGCGCTCATGGAAGAAGCAGTCAGGAAATCAAATGACATATTGCATTAGGCAAATCTTCTGTAAAAGTGTTAAAGTGTTAAGGAGCAGGGTGTTATTTTGAGGACTAAGATATGCCTGACCCAAACCAAGGTATTTTCAGTCACCTCATATACATGTGAAAGTTGGAATATGAATAGTGAAGACTGTAGAAGAATTAACACATTTAAATTACGGTGTTGGCACAAAGGGTAGACAGGGATGGGCAACTTGGACATTGGTTACCCAAAATGGGGGGAGGGATACAAAGGCAAGAAGTGACTGGCTTACAAGCTTTCAAGAGGGAACCTAGATCCAAAGGGCGTGGAGGAGGGTAGAGTCTCCAGTCAATGGTGTCCAGCCTGTCCAGGAAGGGCTGATGAAATGAAATATAGATGGGTCTCTTGTGATGCAATGGTGAATGATTGTTATCGGGACTGATTGTGAGGGTTGGAAATCTAAAGGTGGACATTTTGTAGCAAAGAGGGGAGTGATTAACTTATCAGTCTAGGAGAGGAGGACCCTGGAATCATTGATGGAGAAGAGCGGGAGAGGAGGACCCTGGGACCATTGATGGAGAAGAGCGAAGAGCGGAATCCTACCCAGAGAGGCGATGAGGCCTGAGATGGAGGCAGAGAAGATGACTTCAAGAGATGGTGTGGCTGGGGACTTGGGATCAGGAGATAGAAAGAGGCTGAGGACTGTGGTGGTGGTGGTGGGGGTGGTGGTGCAGGCTTACAGGGTACACCCCTGGGTTGGGTGAGGATGCATGGACGGGATGGTAACTATGCCAATGAAATGATGGATGATGGAATGAATGTAAAGCTGATGTTCTCCCACTCCCATATAGACTATCACACAATTCACAATAAAACATTAAAAAAAAAAAATTACAGTGTTGGTGAAGAATAGTAAAAGTACCATGGACTGGCCGAAATACAAACAAATCTGTGTTGCAAATAGTTTAGCCAGAATTATTCTTAGAAGCGAGGATGGCCAGACTTCATTAATCTATTGTACTTTGTTTGTTTTTTAAGTTTTTGTTGTGAATTATGTGTTACTTTACATGGGTGAACATTATCTTTACATTCATCCTATCGTATTTAGTTTCATTGCAATGATCACAATCCCCTGCATGCATCATCAAACAACCAAAGGGTACATCCCACACGCCTGCCCCCGACTGTCAGCCCACAGCCCCTCTCCATCCCTGAGTCTAGAGTCCCCAGCCACTCCCTCTGTCTACGTCATTGCCTCTGCCTCCATGCCTAGTGTTACTGCCTCTCTGGACACACTTTTCTTTTCTCTCTTGGTGGTTTCAGGGTTCTCTGCTTCTGGACTGCAAAATCAGCTGCTCCCCTCCTTTTGTTACCAAACACATTTACATTTACCTTTCCAACACTCACTGTCAGATCTGAGAGCAATCATTCCCTATTGAAACCCAGGAGTCCTTTCCCCCGTCACCTTTTATCAGTCCCATCCAGTTTGGAGACAATTCAATGGAGGTTCTACCTTTCCCATGCCCTCTGGAACTAGGTTCCCTATTGAAAGTTTGTAAGCCAGTCACTTCTTGTCTTTGTAGTCCCACCATTTTGGGTAGTCAATGTCTAAGCTCCCCCTCCCTGTCAACCCTATGTACCAAGGGGGTGGGAATGATCCTCAATGTAGAGATCTGTCCACTCCTTTGTCATACTGCATCCACAAGCATAGGTCAAGTTCATCCACTTGTAGTGGGTTACTCTTTCTTTTTTTGTTGTTCCTCTTGTTTTTTCCTCTAGTCATGTTCTGATCATCCAGCCATTGTTGCCAGGTCAAATGGGTACTATCTGCAAGTGTGGGTGTTCTTGTGCATCTTCCCTCACTTCATAGCAGCTGGATGCTTCACACTCCGTTCTAGTCCTCTGGGGCCATGTCCCTGCCCCTGGGCCCAGAAGTCCCCAGGTTTGATCATACTGTTGGTTAATCAGGTCTCAATCCAGGTTATCCAGAGGGAACAGCATGTGCAAATGCCTAGAGATGGCAGGTGACAGCTGCCTCCTGCCCCAATAACCCCTATGCCCCATCCAGCTCATCACCAGAACTGCTTTTCATGCACATTGCTGCTCTTCTCACCAGCCACACATGCTCCAGCTGTCCTCAGATTGCCTTTGCCCACCTCCATGCTTTCAGCCATATGTTTCCCCATCTGGTACACCCTCTACATTACTTCATTGTGTTTAAATAATATAAACTTCAAGGCTCAGCTCTGTTCCCACCTCCTCAAAGAAGACCCCCCCCCTCCCCAGACTCCTTTGGCCTTTGTGGTTCTCTCCCTCATCTGGATTCCTATAGCTGATGGTAGGTGGCATCATAGCCTACCCCTTGTAGCTAATGATCTTTTCTGTGCCTATGTCAAAATCCCAGAGGTGGGATGATCCTGGTAAGTGAGCATCTGGCCTCTGCTGGCATATGAACAGGACAGGGAGCTTATTACCTTTCCAGGCAGCCTGTTTATATTTAAACAGCAACTCCTTTAATCTGTCAAGCTGCCAGGTTCCCCTGGGACCTGGGCCAAGTCCTCTTCCCACCATGACTGCCTTTGCAGGCTGTTCCCTCCAGTTTCCTCTTCTGACATCCTGGAGCACAGGGCTGACCCTGGGGGAGCTGGAGTCCCTCCTCCTGTCCCCTGTCTTTGTCAAGAGACAGCTCTAATGGCAGCTACATGTTCTGATGAGTCATGATAAAGGGCATCTGGGGCCTGGAGGTGGTGGCAGGTTAACCCCTCAAGAGCCAGTGGCTCTCTCGGCCAGGAAACCAGGTTTGCTTCAGCTCTATTCCTAGACTCTACCTCAAGGCTGGGTGCACAGCCGGCATCTGGAGATTGCTGTGGGTGGCTCCCACCCAGACACTGGAGAGTCAAGGGAGAGGTGACCAAAAGGACAAAGGACAAGTGTGCAAACTTTGGGGTGATGAGAGCTGGGTTCTAATCTCAGTTTTCCACTTACTGGCCTTGGTCAAGACGTATGAAACGTTTATGTCTTAGTTTCCCCATTTGTAAAATGGCAGTTAAATGGATCACTTGAGAAAGCGAATGTGATGAACTGCTGGCTGGCAGTGAGTATTACATCTATTTCCCGCCTCTGTTCTTCTGAGAACACAGTCACTTAGTGGGAAATACTACGTGCTGTGGAGTCGGTTCTGATTCATAGCGACCTTGTATAGAGTTTCCAAGGACTGGTTGGTGGGTTTGAACCGCAGACCTTGCAGTTAGCAGTCCAGAGTTTATACTACAGCGTTACACCAGGACTCCAGTGGGCAAGTGGGTGGGATTAAAATCCAAGCCTGACTCTGGAGCCTGTGTCTTTCTCTGCATGCGTACCCCTCACCATCAATGCACCCTGAAGTGAGTAAAATGATGCAGGACGCAGATGGGACGGCTGCAGGGCACGAGCTGTGGGGAAGGGAGGTGGTCCTGAGGTCTAGAAAAAGAACTTTCTAGCCACAATTGTTGGGGCAATCTGAGGAGCAAGCGAGCTTCCAGTCTTGGGTAGACTGTGTGCATAGAGTGGACTCTGGCTTTGGCCCGACAGACCTTGAGCGCCCCGGGCTGTCACCTGCCCGAACGAGGGCTCTGGGCGGCCGAGATTGCCCAGAGCGGTTGGGTCGAGGCCTCGACCCAGCTCTGCCCGAATCTCTCGGTGGCTGCAGGCGGGCGGTGGCCATGGTCCCACTGCGCGGGTGGGCAGACTAAGGCCCGGCTCGGCCCGGCCCCGCCGCCTTCCCCGCCCCCGGCGAGCCCCTCCCTGGCAGCCGCAGCCGCGACTCCGCGGCACAGCACCCGGCTCCGGGTTCCGGCTGCAGCACCTGGGCCGCAGTTGGGGTCCGGCGGGGGCAGCTCTGCTCAACCCCCTCCGCGATGACCACGGCCGGCGCCCCGGACGCCCTGCCCGCGGGGTAAGTGCGCGGCGGGGGCGACCTCCGGGGGCGCAAGCTGGGCTGGCTGCGGGGGTCGGGGAGCTCCGGGTGTGGGGCGGGCGCCACTCAGGCCTCCCCTGCGCTGTCCTCCCTGCGGCCCGCACTGCGGCTGGCAGCCCCCAGCCCGTCGGCACAACGCCACCTCACCCCGCCGGTCCGGGCTCAGGGTGCCGCCGCCGCCGCGCTCCCACTGGGGAGTGTGGGCTGGGGGCTGCGGAAACACCAGCGAAGAGAGTGAAAGCGTTGGGGGCCAGGATCGGTCCGCCTGTGGATCCCAACTTTCTCCTGAAGCCGTAGTAATAGCCACGTTCGCAGCTGCCTTTCTCGCCTGGTGGCGTTTTCACCTATGGGGTACGCTGTGTGGTGATCACCCCCATTACAGAGGAAAGCGGGGCATAGGTCTTCGGTGGCCTGCGTTCGGTCACTAGGCAGTAAAAGAGATGTGGCTAAATTCACCTTGGTCTGATGTCAGCGCCCCCACCCGCAGGCCACGCTGCCTCACCCTCGGGGGCATTTGGGGAGAGTTACAGTGCTAACTTATGAACCTCCCTGGACCTTGGGGTAAAGCAGGAACCCGGTGGTAAAGGTGGGCGTTGTCACTACCAGCACAACTCTTCTGCCCAGAAACCCTACAGGACTCTTACAGGGCCCCTGCAGCGGTGACAGCTGCTAGAGGCAGGGAGCTCTAGAGCAACTCTACTTTTCCAGGCCCCATTGGGTAGGGGGTGGCTTCTCCTGGGCGGAAATACCGCTCAGGTGAGCTGGGAGGGGTGTCCCTTACCTGGAGCCTCACCACCAATGACAATATTTGCCAAGGGCCTCAGAACTAACACGTGAATAGGGTGGTGACCAGACTTGTGCCAGCCAGCAATTTAAGGCCTCCACAGAGCCTGTATATGTGCCTAGGGCTGGGGGCTTGGAAACTGGGTTGGTTGGAACACCCTGGCCTGGTTGAGTCTTGCCTTGACAGTTTTGTTGGGTGGTTTTGGGTCTCTATGAAAAATACAGGGAAGCTGGGCTGGCTGAAAGGAGCCCTGGTGGCTCAGTGGTTAAGAACGCAACCCAAACTGAAATGCTGGGAGTTTGAAACCACTCCAGAACAAGGAGATGTGCTTCTGTCAAGATCTGCAACCTTGGAAACCCGATGGGGTGGTTGCTGTGTCTTGAGGGGGGAGAGGGACGGGGTGCGCTATAAGTAAAACTCAACTTGGCAATAGGTTTGGTTTTGGTTTTCGGGGGAAGATGGGGACTGTCTGCTCCCTTCCTTCACTGGGCTGAAGTCATAAATCTGGTTAAGCCTGGTTAAGACCCTTTTGCTCAGCCCTGATGGAGCATCACCCTGTTGGTTTCCAGAAGAGAATGCAGGTGTACAGCAGGCACCTACCAAAGAATCCTAGACTCCAGACTGGAGACCGCATTTACCCCTTTTTCTTATACCCTGGTATCTGTGCCTGAGTCCACTCTAGGGTACCCAGATTTCTCTGGCCCAGTAGGGCACCTCAGTGGACATCTCCTCATGCAGACCACACCTGTCTCTGCACACCATGGAGTCCTATCCGTTACTGAGGTCACACAGGCCCATCTGTCCCTGGTTAGTGCCATCCTGGTGAGATCTGAGCAGAACCAGCCCCACCTTGAACAGAAACATTGATTTGGTCACTCAGCAGACATTCACTGAGGCCACCTCTAGGTCCAACCCTAGGCAGTGGTGAGCAAACCAAACCTTACATCTCCATCACTTGGAAAATTATGAGGGGGAAAAGTTCATGGAAAAATAGTATTTTTCCATGAACTTTTTGAGCCCTCTCTCTTATGCAATGATTTAAACCTTCAAAAAATCATGGCGAATAATAAAGTTAACTCCCATAAACTTGCTATCCAGCTTTGTTGGATTAACACTTTTTTCATATTCTTTTTAAGTTTTTATTGTGAATTATGTATTAGTTTACATGGGTGAACATTATCTTTACATTCATCCTATCATATTTTGTTTCATTGCAATGATCACAATCCCCTGCATGCATCATCAAACACCTAAAGGGTACACCCCACACTCCTGCCCCAGCACACATTCCCTCTCCCTCCCTTACTCCAAAGACCACAGCTGCTCCCTCTGTCCACATCATTACCTCTGCCTCCATGCCTAGTGTCACTGCCTCTCTAGACACGGTCCTGCACTTCGCTTTTCTCCCTTGATGATTCCAGGGATCTCCGCTCCTGGACTGCAAAATCAGCCGCTCCCTTCCTCCTGCTACTAAACATTTATATTCACCTTTCCAGCACTCACTGTCAGACCTGATAGCAATCATTCCCTACTGAAACACAGGAGTCCTTTCCCCTCACCTTTTATCAACCCCATCCAGACAAGTTAAAACAATTCAGTGGAGGTTCTACCTTTCTCTGGAGCTAGGCTCCCTATTGAAAGCTTGTAAGCCAGTCACTTCTTGCCTTTGTAGTGCCCCCATTTTGAGTAGCCAATGTCTAAGGTCCCCCTCCCTGTCGACCCTATGTACCAAGGGGGTGGGAATGATCCTCACTGTAGAGATTTGTTCGCTCTTTTGTCATACTGCATCCACAAGCATATGTCAAGATCATCCACTTATAGTGGGTTACTCCTTTTTTCCCCCTTCTTCTTTCTTCCTCTAGACATGTTCTGATCATCCAGCCATTGATGCCAGGTAAATGGGTACTGTCTGCTAGTGTGGATGTTCTTGTGCATCCCCCCCCCCCCTCACTTTATATCAGCTGGATGCTTCACTCTCCATTCTAGTCCTCCGGGGCCATGTCCCTGCCCCTGGGCCCAGGAGTCCCCAGGTCTCGTCATACTGCTGGTTAACCAGGTCTCAATCCAGGTTAACAGGAGTCTATTGAATATGGTTGGATTTAGTTCACAACTTCATTGCTGTTTTTACCCCCTCTTCCCCTTATCAGTGACCAACGTGGTCAGCAGCAGGACCATATACCTGCTAGTTTAATCCATTTAAGTTTCATTCCTGGAAGGGGGTTTGCCTTGAGGGGACCTGACCGCTTGTCTTGATGTCTCCTTAGGGAACAACTTGCTTGATCTTGTAGTAGTCAATTGGACTGCTGGTTGTTGTTGTTTCTGCTGGTCTTTCTTTCAAGAAGTATCTTCTGTTCTTGTAGCTGCTCCAGACTGGTCCGTTTGTCCTTTCATGTGGGAATGTCCCACCTCAGAAGATTCTGGATCATCATCAGGATTCCACCTATGGTCTTGTACAGTGCAAAGGCTCTGCAGGGATCCTCCTTCACTGGGCAAGTTCTAGCCCCATTTTAGTTATTCCAAACCGTTCTGGGCTGAAGATGGACTTACAAGCTTTCTCTGGCTATTCCTCTCTATCTTCTTCAAGTGTCTATTTTATAATAGTAGGCAAGAGAAACCAAGATTCAACAAACAGCCAAGCATCTTAACATCATTTCCCCACTTTCACCCATTCAAACCATGCCTCAATCTTCATATCCACGAGCTCAGTTTTTCCATGTTTGTGCTCGGATCGTTATTTACCTCTATCCCATTTAGCCCATGTAAACCTGCTTAGCTATTCTCCCATCCACCTTATTTTTCCTTTCCCCTTCCCCTTCTAGTGTATTGCTCACTGCCCCCAGCACCAAACTGTCCTTTGTCTATTCCATGCCCTGTGTTCCACTATCCTGTACCTATTACCGACCCTGTGCTCCACGTTCCTCTCCCTCCCCCTAACCACATCCCCTACACCCTGGTAACCAAACACAACAACAAAAAAGATAATAATAATAATAATAAAATATAATTTTTTTCGCTTTCAGTGTGGGTGCTTTTATAAATATTTTTTTCATTAATGGCTCTATGCTGTATTTCTCCTTTTGTGACTGACTGATTTCATTCAGCATAATGTCCTCAAGGTTCATCCATGTTATGCGGTGGCTTATAGCTTCCGTAGTATTCCATTGTGTGTATGTACCAAAGTTTGTTTATCCATTCTCCCATAGATGGGCACTTAGGCTGTCTCCATCTTTTTGCTATTGTGAATAGCGCTGCTATGAACATTGGTGTGCATATATCAATTCGTGTTATGGCTTGTATTTCTTGTGGATAAATACCAAGTAGAGGAATTGCTGGATCACAAGGTATCTCTATTTCCAACCTTCTGAGGAAGTGCCATATTGTTTTCCATAGTGGTTGGACCATTTTGCAATCCCACCAGCAATGTGGTAGGGTCCCAGTCTCTCCACATCCTCACCAACACTTATTGTCCTCTACTTTTTAAATCTTTGCTATTATTGCTGGTGTGAGATGATATCTCATTGTTGTTTTTATTTGCATC